CTTCTAGTACCCCCTACAATAATCCCTATGAAGGACTGAAAGTACAAGAGTAGAAGGGGGAACATCCCAACATCTCCATCCTAAAAAAGCCTGAAGCCGAAGCTCTTGATGACCAAAGCAACAAAGCCAAGGCTCGATCATGCTAAAGAAGTTTTCGTAGTCCAGCACTCCTCACAAGTTTTTGAGCCCTGTCTGACTAAGTCTGGCCCTTCAAGCCCTTTTTGAACCCAGGCTCAGAGCATTCAAAGGGCCGAAACCCTAAACCCGGCTAGGGTTTAGGGTGTAGGGTTTAGGGTGTAGGGTGTAGGGTTTATGGTTTAGGGTTCAGGAACAGACAGAACATAACTCAAGACACAAAAGCCTCCCCGGCGGAAGCCTCAACCTGTCACAAGCAGGTGAAGCTTTTGTTGCCACCCGTCTAGCATTCACTCCGCGGGCACGCTGACAAGTGAGTTTTTGTGTGTGTGTGTGGGGGGGGGGTTTAGGGCTAAGGCTAAAGCCCTGATACCATTTACCCGAAAGGCAGAGAAACTGAGGCGAGATACGCCAGAACCCTTGCTCAACCCTAAAACCAAAACCCTAAAACCAAAACCCTAAACCCTAAACAAATTCACGCACTCACTTCACTTATTCTATCTTCACGGGATAGGTTAATAAAGGAGTTTTAGTGTGTGAAGAGAACACAATTTAGTATTATGGGAAGCTCGCGCCCGTGATAATATTATAATTGTGCGAACGCAACGAGAGAACGTAATGCACGCCCTATTATAATAAGAAGAGAACTTAGTACAGGCGTGCATGAGGGAGCGATTTCTGGGTCTTGGAGTTCACATGTCATGTAATACTATAATTAAAGCTTCCCTGGTGATCCTGTTGTTACCGTGTGAATATTATTACTACTGTGAAGAGAATTTGAATTTGTAATGAACTTGTGAAGCACGAAATTCAATATGAAATGAACGTAACACCCCGGGCCCCTATATCTTTACTGCCCGGGCATACTCATAATACTACGAAGAAAGTGAATGAAAAAGAGAGCGAAGTGAATTCATGAACAATCGAACGCAATGAATGAGAGAACGAAGTGAAGGGAACAAAAGTAGTATTATAATATGAAGAGAGCATTATTTTTGCGTTTATAAGGAGTGAAGCGACGCATGAAACGTGATAAAAATACGAACGAAACCAGGACGCACTCTGCGAAACGGACAAGTTTGCCTCCATATGGGGATGCATGCACTCTCTCCCAGGGCGTTAGGTTTTGTGTGACACCAAAACGCTGGAGAGTCCAGCTGGCGTGGCGCCAGCACCAGTGATGCAGTGGGTCGCTAAACCCTTCGCAAACATCGGCTTCTAGGGGTTCGACATGATTCTGCAGCCCAAACTACTTGCCATCATCGCTTCGCCCCTGCAGAGATTGGGGGGGGCATTTCCTGGGCACTCTGAGGTCTCGGCACCTTAGGGTTTAGGGTTTAGGGAGGGTTTAGGGTTTAGGGTTTAGGGTTTAGGGTTTAGGGTTTAGGGTTTAGGGTTTAGGGTTTAGGGTTTAGGGTTTAGGCATCAACCCTAAGCCCTAAACCCTAAACCCCAACAAAACACCCATCAACAAATCCATCAGATATCCCTGAACCCTAGATGCCTAAACCCTGTCCGCCCCGTCCAGCTGTCCTGTGCGAGCCTCATCGAAAACACGGAAGAGCACCTCCAGGTCTTTCTGGTCGATGTTGTAGTCCTTGCCAGGGATCTCGACTCTGACACTAGCGCACGCGCAGGCCAGGGATTTAGGGTTTCGGGCTTCGACACTCACTCTCGCGCAAGACAGGCAAGGTTCATGGGTCCGTGGGGTCAGACAACTGGTTTCGGGCTTAGGGATTTTGAACCGCAACATGACGGCTTCTTTGTGTCTGGACCAGGAGCAATTGCAAGTTAAGCAGGTTGGCCTAGCTGATGACACAATGCTGCGCCATCCGAAGTGCTATGCCGGCACGGCGTGATGACACGAAAGGAACACTGCAGCTAGGAGATGTTCGCCGAAGTGCGGCAGGTGGCTTCGTTCTGAATCACACGACATGGCTCCCAGCAAACAGGGCACCCTAAACCCTAAACCCTAAACCCTAAACCCTAAACCCTAAACCTTATAGAGACCCCCTGGGCTTGTCAGTCCTTCATGGCATTCCGGAAGTCCGCGTTCCGCTCGAATCCGTAAAGGAGCTCGTCCTCGGATCATACGAGGTTCATGGGTACTTAGAAGTAAGGTGAAACCCTAAACCCCAAACCCTTATAAGTAGGGCAACTATGGTTATTACCCTGTTCAGGGTACTTATAACCATAAGATGCAGCCCTAAACGCTAAACCCTAACCTCCAAACCCTAAACCCTGACCGGAAGGACTGCTGGAATCACGTGCCTCAGATCCCATGTTAAAGCCTGGAGAAAAAGGAGGCCCCCTTCTTGAAGTTGCCATGCAGCCAAGCCCCGGGTTGTGTAGGTTTCTCTAGGCTTAGGGCTTAGGGTTTCGGATTTAGGGTTTAGGGTTTAGGGTTAGCTTTGCTTGCTGAAGCTGGCGTGCGCCCGCAGCTACCTTCTGCCAGGCAAGGCGCGAAAGACAAGGACCCACTCTCCTGGGCATGTGACCATCAGCATTGGCACGATGAACCGAAGCCCACTGCCCTTCACTCATACTCAAATACCCTAAGGCCCTACATTGTGTGTCTTTATATTCCATGGTTTAACGTTTTACGGGTCCCCCCAGTCAGGAACACGAGCAATGGATTGCAAGAAGAGCAGACATCTTAAGTCCTAAAGAAGTGGTTTTTTCGCCACCAGCCGCTCGAGCTTACAGCTTCTTGAGGCTGTGACCGTGGGTTTCGGGCTTTTGCACGGGGGCCAACCACCCTACCATAGTGACCCCTCTCAGGTCCTGCCCAACATGCGCCTCACCAAATCCGCACAATAACCTCCGCCCTTGCCCCCCATCGAGGGCTCGAGGACGAAAGCCGCTGGGTCACAGGATCTTTATTCCTTTTTTTGAGCCATGATCCGCATAGCTCCGGGCAGGGCTAATGGTATAGGGAGTAAGTACTGCGCGGAGAGAGAGAGAGAGAGAGAGAGCTAGAGTTACGCAGGAGCTTCTTTTTTCAGGACCTTAGGTTCAAAGGCAAGGCGCATCATCATCCAGGATCTTGCAGATCTCCAGAAGTCGGTTCTTTTGCCGCTCCTTGTGCTTCTGCTCCTCGATCCTCTGCCGTCTCCTGTTTAGGGTTTAGGGTTTAGGGTCTAGGGTCTAGGGTTTAGGGTTTAGGGTTCAGGGTTCAGGGTTTAAAGGTTGCTGTGTAGGACCCCCACCAAACCGGCAGGACCCCTATGGCCTACCATATTTAACTAAGGGTAGCCTTCTTGGTAACTTTTTTCGGGAACCTTGACCCCCCAAAAAAAGGGCAGAAGGGTGCGACTGGGCCACCAAGCCAATGAAGCTTCAATATTAATGTTATATTGGTCTAAACCCTAAACCCTAAACCCTGAACCCTAAACCCTAAACCCTAAACCCTAAACCCTATGAGTATTGATGCAATCTTCTTAATATTAACACTGACTTGCCGTCCTCTTGGCCTCCTGTGCTTCTTCTCGCGCCTGGGCTCCGCTATCCACGATCGCTGCAACGATCAGATTCCTGGGCTGGGCAAGGGTTTAGGGTTTAGGGTTTAGGGTTTAGGGTTTAGGGTTTAGGGTTTAGGGTTTAGGGTTTAGGGTTTAGGGTTTAGGGTTTAGGGTTTCGGTTTTAGGGTTTAGGGTTTAGGGTTTAGGGTTTAGGGTTTAGGGTTTAGGGTTTAGGGTTTAGGGTTTAGGGTTTAGGGTTTAGGGTTTAGGGTTTAGGGTTTAGGGTTTAGGGTTTAGGGTTTAGGGTTTAGGGTTTAGGGTTAGGGTTTAGGGTTTAGGGTTTAGGGTTTAGGGTTTAGGGTTTAGGGTTTAGGGTTTAGGGTTTAGGGTTTAGGGTTTAGGGTTTAGGGTTTAGGGTTTGTTTATAGGGTTTGTAGTATTTACAGGGTTTAGTTTAGGGTTTAGGGTTTAGGGTTTAGGGGAGCATAGCTGATCTCTAAATAATGTGCCGCTGGGGCTTGCAGCAGGAAGTGCACAGACATCGTGTGTCCTTGTCCAGGAACGATGGCCAACCGAAAGCAACAAAATGTGCTGAAGCGGCTAAGCCAAAGCTCAGCACCCCAAGGGTCACGGTGGCATACATGCCGATCTTAGTTTCAGTCAGAATGGACAAGTGTGGCTACCCTGCGACTGGGTTGCTCATCCGCCAGACACACAGACAAGGAGTACCAAGGAGACAACTCTACACTGATGGTGACACAGAGACAACTCCAAACTGACAATGACACAAGAAGGGTTCGGCGGATGTGGGTCCGGTCCACCATCTGAAGCAACAGGACTGCACATCTGCGATCCGCCTGTACTCTCTAGCTTCGTTGGCATGGCTACAAGTACTGGCGCCAGGCCCCGTGCAGCAAAGCCATGCATGCAAACCAGGTCTACGTAGGCATCCAGGGCGACTCGTGTTACCGCTTCGCAACAGCAGTTGCGCACAAACACACAACAAAACAAACACGCTCGCATGCGCACACACACACGCACACACAGACAGAGACAGAGATGTAGACGCAGACGGAGACGCAGAGAGACAGACACCCAGACGCCGCACGCACCTACGCAGGCACCCACACACAGTCCCACGCACGCACACGCGCACGGGAACAGGTCCACCAGGTCCGCCAAGGGGCGAAGATAATGATTGTCAATGGCTCTTTTTCAATGATAGCCTGCAGGGACATCGTGAGGCTTCAACACCACACTCGAAGCACCTGCTCTTGCTGCAGGCATAGGAGGACTTGGGCAAAAACCGAGGCAGCACAGAATATGCTGCCGGAGCAACTATGGCTGATGCACCCCAGCTGTCACCAAAGACGACCGTCTGGCAAAGAGTTATCACCTGAGAAATCACGTGTCGGAAAGATGGAGGGTGGTGCTTTTGAGGTCTGTAACTACCAACCAAGCACACGCCCAATCCTCGCGCCGACAAGGCTCCGAGTACCAAACTGATGACCAGGCTCTGCAGTCCCTTTCGCACTCCTCACTCCCCGTCGCTGCCACAATTTCTTGGTTGACGGGCTGAATAAAGTAGACGGCGACGATGGCCCACATAAGGATCACCTCTGTCAGCAAGCATGTGCATGACCGCCACCCTACCATTTCACTGGCAGATGCCTGCAGCTCGCACAGCCACTCTACAGTCTGGACTAGTGGACAGACGCGTCGCAATCCACATCAAGATGGAGCCCCAGAATACAGCCGAGAAGGACGAGATGAAGCCCTTGATCAGAAACTGCAGCTCTGGGAACATGCCCACGACGCGGACAAATCCTTGTTGCATGCAGCGACAAGGAACTGCTGCGCATCATCGTGCTCATGCACAACAACATCATTTATTTAATACATTAATTAGTTAATTAGATAATTAGTTAATTAGTTAATTAGTTAATTAGTTAATTAGTTAATTAGTAAATTTAAAAAAACTTTTAGAGAACAGAAACACCACCTTCAGCTTCCCGAAGCTGAAGGGTCGAAGCTGTGCGGGAGCTAAGCGTCTGAAGAGGCGGGCCAGGCGGAAGACCCGCAAGAAACCCAGCTCGAAGGCGAATCCTTCACAACAGGGGCAAGTCTTCTAGAGTCTTTGGCTGCACCCTCGACTACGACCACGGCAAAACACAACTCCCCCCCCCCCCCCCCCCCCCCCCCCCCCCCCTCCCCTCCACGCCCCCCGCCCCCCGGTTTAGGATTTCAAGACCTCCCCCAATGCCACACGAGCCATGGTGAGGGACTCTAGTCTAGGGAAAACGCCTTCAACTCTATAGGGCTGCTCCTTGTGAATGAAAGGTACCGTCCCGAAGTGAGGTTTGTGGGCGCTCTGCCAACCTCACGGTGAAACTCCGCCAGCCTTCCAGCACGAGGTCGGCGATGAGAAGCAGGACATCTGCCGCAACCTCTTCTCTGTTGATGATGGAGGTTTCGACTTGAGGGTGTCGGGCTTGCAGTGCGCGATCCCAAGCAACTAAAGGAGCTCCACACGCTAGAGCTGCTACAGCACCGACCGGCACGGCATGGCATGGCAGGGCGACCGAGGCCCCGGCAATCAAGAAGTCGAACAAGAGGGCCGTTTTAAAAACTTCTGTTCGAAAAACGTAGAGGCGGGCAGTCATCTCGGCCGCATAGACACCTCATCTCCAGGATTCCAGGACTTGCTTGGGAGGTTCATGGTGTACTTATCACTAGGGTCATAAGTACCGTCAATAAGCTTGCGGTCATCATTTCCTAAGTACCCATAACCCCGAAGTGTACTCTGCAGGCTGGGTCCAAGAGGTCGTGCACGCGTTTCACCCCTAGCAATTTCAACGATCAAGGGCCAGAGGGCCCCAAGCACAACCCAGAGAAAGGCCGCGTAATCCCTAATCCCCAAACCCCAGGGGACACCACACGTACTTGCTTGTTAAGAAGAAAAGGTCTAGGGTTTAGGGTTTAGGGCTTAGGGCTTAGGGCTTAGGGTTTAGGGTTTAGGGTTTAGGGTTTAGGGTTTAGGGTTTGCTTTGCTTCCTGGTTCTTCTCGGGGAACCAGATCCCCCCGACCAGCAGCCAGTTCACATACAAGGGTTTAGTGTTTATGGCTTAAGAACATGCCTTACATGGTGTAGTAACCCTAAACCCTAAACCCTAAACCGTAAACCCTAAACCCTAAACCCTATACTACTCGGACAACCTCCTTCTATAGCGGCTCCACCAGTTATTTTAACCCTCTGCCCTGAAAGGTTCCTCTAGCGACACCGACCAAGGGTTTTTTTTGCCACCCGACTAGCCACGGGCAATGGTTTAGGGTTTAGGGTTTAGGGTTTAGGGTAAGGGTTTAGGGTTTAGGGTTTAGGGTTTAGGGTTTAGGGTTTAGGGTTTAGGGTTTAGGGTTTAGGGTTTAGGGTTTAGGGTTTAGGTTTAGGTTTAGGGTTTAGGGTTTAGGGTTTAGGGTTTAGGGTTTAGGGTTTAGGGTTTAGGGTTTAGGGTTTAGGGTTTAGGGTTTAGGGTTTAGTTATAGGGTTTAGGGTTTAGGGTTTAGGGTTTAGGGTTTAGGGTTTAGGGTTTAGGGTTTAGGGTTTAGGGTTTAGGGTTTAGGGTTTAGGGTTTAGGGTTTAGGGTTTAGGGTTTAGGGGGGTTTCAGGGAAAAAGTTTGACGTCAGTTTCCTTTTAGACAAAACTGTCTTGAAAAGGGATCTCATGTCAAATCCCCTAAGTTTCCAAAGTTCCCCCCCCCCCCCCCGCCCCGCATGCTGTCCAGGATGCAGGTGTATGCACCGGTGATATAGTTTGCGATGGCCTGCAGAATCTCTTCCTCGGGGCTCCTGTTGGCTGACAGGCCCAAGACAAAGAGCCCTCGCATGCCCGGAGCATGCCTCAAAGCTACACTGCTTGTGTCTCTGCCAGGTCTTACACAAGACGCGGCGCAGCACATCTCTCTTGCCTCCCTTGCAATGATGCACCGACCGGAGGTAGGAGCATGAACATATTCACCGTGCTTGGCCCATGCTCCGCGCAAGCAAATGTAGGCCACCGTCCCGGTCACTCTAGTCTAGCATAAGGTAGCCTGCGTTTCGGACACATGGCTGCACTTTTGGCTAAGAAGTGTCAGAGTATTTCAGTTTACAGTGCACAAAAGCTGAAGACTGTAGGACCATGACGCATTCTCAACAACTACACCCCCTTCACCATGAACAAGTTGTATAGCAGGTAGAACCAGGACTTGACAGTCAGGAAATTCACCTCAAGCACTATTTGCGTGTTCACCTTCCTGGGCCCAAGAGAGCCCTTAACCCCTAAACCCTAAACCCTAAACCCTAAACCCTAAACCCCACAATTTTCGTCAACCCCCCCCCCCCCAGCCTCGGAGACTTCACCGTCAAGTCGGCATCCTCGAAGGGGCGATTCGAGATTTTGGGCCTAACTGTACCCACTTCTTGGAGGTTCATGGGTACTTATAATCTTAATCCCTGTTCCCCTCGGAAGAAAGAAGGATCCTTTTTGTTCATATATAAGAAAGCCCATAACCCAAAAAGTAAAAAGGATCCCTAACACTGCTCGAGTAATAACCCCAACTGTAAGTACTTATAACCTAGAAGGGCTGATAAGTACAGTTGTAATTGGGTTAGAAGTACCCTGAACCTCCACGTATTTGCCGAGCTTCAATGGCACTCAGGACAAACAAGTATAACCCCCTTGCCTCAAGGATGAAAGGTCACCCCCGCCACTTGTTTCAAACGATGAGCGCAAGCTTCAGGGGAACCTAAACCTTAAACCCTAAACCCTAAACCCAAGACCGTGGACCCTTTAGACCCTTGCTGCCAAGAAGCTACAATCAAGATGACCACGCCTCGGCCAACGCGCAAATATATCTGGGGCCACTGCACATTCCAAGTGTTTCTGAGAGCTTGCGTCTCTCCTTCAAAAACGCGTAGTTCTCTACATTTAGGTTCCCTTTTTGGGTTCCTATATAGTACGGCACCTGATAAGAAGGACCCCCGAAAAGGACCCGAATTTAGAGAACTACTGAAAAATCAAGGCAAGACACTGGACAGGATCATGACCGCAAGTATCCAGTCCGTCTTCTCACTGGATATAACTCCTTGGACATCAGCAACTGCACCGACAGCGAAAAGTGCATACTACATATTCCCCAAACAGTGTGCCAACACTGCGGGGTTCTTGCGTTTCAGCTTAAGAGGGGTGTTCGGTTGAGTTGCTCGATCGACACGCGTGCGACACGCCCGCGAAACGAGCGCGCGTACGCCACGCTATTCCTCGAGCGGTGGTCGCATTTTGGATTTAAATCGCGCTTTCGCCATGCGCGGGTGCCATCCCCGACTTCTCGAGGCCTCGAAACATGGCAAGCATCATGCGTGCTTTCGGCTTCGTGGCCACGCTCATTTCGGGTGTTTATGGGTGGAAATCGTGCTCTCCGCCTAGATCCCATGCGTGTTTCGTGGCACACGTCCCGAAAACGTGGCAGGCGCTTGGAATCCTGCGTTTTGGGCTGTTGGAAGGGTTCGCTGGGTGCGGCCAAACCAAGGGAACTTGCAATTCGCGATGTTGCAAATCACGCGCCTTGCGACGTCGCTATCCTCGTAACTGTCGACGCTTTTCGCCGTCTTCGGACGTCGGGGTTCGCCAAATGCGAAACTCTCGTGGCTTCTCGACGTCGGAGTTCGCCAAGTGCGAAACTGTCGTCGCTGTCAGCACCTGGGTTCACAAACGCGAAACTGCCGTCGCTTTTGGGTCGGGTTTTGGACGTGGGGTTCGCCAAATGCGAAACCGCTTTTGGAGCTTTTGGACATCCGAAATACAAGGTAGTACAAAACGTGGTGGATGTCGGCAGCTCCAGTGGCATCAACGTCGCTCCTTCGTGACCCATGAAGCTCTTCGTGTCCCCACGCGGTCGCTCACTGGGGTCTACGCTGGGATAACCCTAAATCATATATTGAGAATTTTATACAATTCTATAATATACTAGAATATAATATTCTGATATCTATATATATATATATATATATATCATAGATATCATACATTATATATATATATATATACACACGAAAACATATATCATAGTGTACGACATTTTTTACCATAGTGTATATACATATATACATATGTTATAAATATATACATATATATATACTAGAATAAACTATGTTATTATATGTTTAAATGCAATATAAGATCTTAGAATATCATATAATAACAACATGTATATATATATATATAAAGCAATACCGAGATTCTCCAAGTCTTCTGGCGTACGACATTCCACTTGGCAAAGCCGTGAGGGTAAAAATTCCCGCCGTCGATTTCGCTGTCCTCATCGTCTGCACCTCTTGCTATCACGATTCTTGAGCTGCAGCCCCTCAGCGTGTGCCCCTGAACTATCCCAAACCCCCGGCTACCCAGGAAAGTAGCGGCGCGCAGCCTTAAACCCTGAGCCCTTTTACCTAAAACCCCAGATCCTTGACCCTGAAAGCTTTCTGAGTTCTTGAACCTGAAACTTCTGTATGTTGTTATATTTTACTAATCTACCTTATATCATAGTATAGTGATCAAATAAGATACCATGTTTTAGAACATACTAGAACAGATTAGAGTATACATGAAAATATTTGTACAGGTACGATCATGTAGCAGTTGGCTGTGGGCTCCATGATACCCTGCATGAGCCTTGCATCTCCAAGGCATCATCCGCCGACACCCTGATGTCTCAAAGTATGTTGAGATGAGGCGTTGAGCAACGAAGCCTGTCAGATATTTGCCCTGCCCTCGGCAAGATTCTCGTAAGGATCCTCAGAATCTCGTCTTATGGACAGCCGCAGCCCACTCATCCTGATGAAGCAGTTTTGATTCGATGGCTATTCGGTGACATGCACATTGTGTTAAGGCCTCCTGGCCGATGGTGTACTACGTGTGCTAGTGACAACACTTCACTTTGGAGATTCGTGTTCCGGTGATGACTGTCACGCACAGGTTCGTAGCTCCTGCGGAGGTGTCATTTCCGGACCGGTTGTGTTTGTTTTGAGCCCATGATCAGAAGAGTCAATCGTACGCTTATGCTTGCAATTCAGGCTGCTTATCCTCAGGCCGTACGTGTAGCACTCCGTACAACGCGGCCCAAGGCTGAGGGCTTACTTGGAGGTTCGTGGTTACTTACAAGTGGGGTCATAAGTACCCCAAATACGGTTGCAATCAGAGTTCCAAGTAGGGGAAAAAAAACGCCGCCCCTAAAACACTCAAGGCGACAGTCTGCGCAGACCAAGGTGCCGAGAGCTGCAACGCCGAATCTCCGGCGCGTGTGTTGTGTGGACTCGCTCTTCTTCTTCCGGCCCCTTTGTCTTGGGTGGGATAAGCTTACTTCTCCAATACCCAAGGGGAAAAAAGGTTAAACTATATGATTCCTACTGAATAAGGAAACCCAAAATGTAGAAAATTCAGCTGTTGGAGAAGTAAGTAAGTGGGGAATTTAGAGCTTAGAGCAATAGAGTTGTGATGGGATGATGGCCAAGTCCCTAGACGATCGGAAGCCCGAATCTCTCAGGAGACTCAGTCCAACTTGCTGCAACTACTTGTGCTGGAAGGCTCCACTGAAGGAAAACGCTTTTGGAGCCAAGCGTTTTTCTGATTCTACGTAGGGTTTCCAGAATCAAGCCGAGAATCCCAAACATGACAGCACGCCTCCAACGGGAGAATGGCCAGCCAGAAATAAGGCACTAGCGCTCTCGCAACGTGGCTAAGTAGCACCCTCTGTCAACTCTACTGGCTACCAGTAAAAGCACAGATGATGCCCCTTCCCTCGTCAAGTCAAACTGGCGCAAGCTCTTTGAGCCAGCTAACGGTGCAGCGCGAGAGGTTCGGACCATCTGCCGCAAACAAAAATCCGCCGAATGCATGTCCCACCTACGACCTGAGACCGACTTAACTTGGTGCAGGTTATCCGGCTTAGAATTTAGGGATTCGCACAAGGGCCAGAAAACGATGTCGTGCATATGGCCTCACCATGAACCATACAAGCATCAAGCACATGGGCAGGCGAGGAGATTGTAAACAGTGCCGGCATCTGAAAACCAATGGCGTTAGCAGTTCAGCCACCAGAAGAACTGATTGGGTGTAGGCAGGGCGCAAGAGGTTGAGGGCTGCTTACCTCACCGTCATAGCCCAGTGAGAACGGGGAGCAAACCCTCCTATTCCTCGAAACGCCCTCTCTGAGGCCTTCTATGTGGGTTTGAGCGAAAAGGATTGTACTTTTTTGGGGGAGGGGGCAGGGGGGGGGAGCACTTTAGACACCTGTGGCCCCACAGCCCCACGGCCCCAAGGGCTTAGGGTTTACCTACCAGGTTTAGGACCCTGACCCCTACATCTCCATATGTTTTTGCTGGTGCTTTCCAGTCAGTCCACCGGTCTTTCGACCGTAGCGGAACGCTCGTGGTCAACTCTTCCCCTCAATCTTACTGGTTCTTGGGTAAGGAATGAAGGAATTCGGTACCCTACATACGCGTGTTAGCGAAGCGGCAGGGCATGGTTCAAGGGGGAAGGGGTGTAAAAGCGGACAGTGAGACACAGTGCTCTGCACTGAAAAAGCAAGCACTTCGCCTGCCAGACCGGGAGCTTTTCAAGCAAAACATGGAGGACACTCTCTTCCACTTTGCTGATGCAAAGCACGCAGCGAAGTGGTAAGTATAGGCTGGGGTGTGAAAAGTACAACAACTTCTACCTGAGTCCTGTCTCTGTTTTTCATCGTTCCACACTAGCCTTGAATCGTGCTCGTGCTGTTTCTCTTCCCCGGCACTCCTTCTTCTTGATCAGCTTAAGCCAAACGATTTCGGGGATTGAGGTGCACGAGCCTTCCAACCTCTGATCGAGGTTTGAATTAGATCATGACTACTCAGGAAAACTTTGGTTCCCTTTTGCTTCTAGGCAGCACGTGTATTTTGAGTTGCATGAACAGGCGAGGCGGGAGAAAGTCCAACGTCCCACGCGCGAACTCCCTGCCCCTTGCATCATGTCCATGCAATCTCAATGTCAAAGGGGACGGATGTCCCACGATTTTCGTGGGGGCCTTTCAGGCAGACCTGCAGGGGGGCGTGCAATGAAAGCACAAGACAGCTTCGATCTATCACGGCAGGCCTTGCACCCAAGCAGTAAGGTGAAAGCAAGTCTTTTCATGCATGATTTACTAATATTGTTTATACTGCTAGAATTCTTCAGATTCTTTCTTCGCTTTGTTGACATTTTTAATACTATAAACGTTCTGAATACGATTAGCACTATCTATTTTAATATTATTCATATTATTGATTTTATGAGTATTATCTTATTCATATTAACCGTATTATTAACACACACACACACACACACACACACACACAACCTTTCCCTGTCCACACCGGAAAAAATGTCGAGGCATCCGGTGCTCGACCCTGCCCAAAGACACGTCGAATCCCCACCGAAGATCGCAAAGCCCTGACCCCCCTAAACCCTAAACCCTAAACCCTAAACCCTAAACCCTAAACCCTAAACCCCGAACTTTCTGCAAGTGTGGTTGGCATGTCCCCGCCTTCGGGCGGTAGCGGTGGATCCTTCTCTATCTCGGGACCTCCTTGGCTTGAGGACCATGGGCGCGGGGGGGGGGGGGGGGGGAACTAAACCAACGGATTCTCTCCTAGGATTTGGGTTTTGGGTTTTGGGTTTAGGGTTTAGGGTTTAGGGTTTAGGGTTTAGGGTTTAGGGTTTAGGGTTTAGGGTTTAGGGAGGTATACAAAAAGACAGAGACACGAAACGTGCACATGATTTAGCTCAATCCCCACGTTCCTTCAGGGCACGCGCTTGAGAACTTTGGGAACTAAGTCTTAGCATTCACCGAATATCGGCTGCTCGTGCGCCCTGTTAAGAGTCGCTAGAGATCCAGTGGGACGCTATTGTGCAGGATGGGTGAGGAGGGAAGGAACATCGAAGAAAGAGCTGCTCTCAAAATCCAAACCCTAAGTCCCAAGTCCAAAGAATGAGCTTCTTCCACATAAATGGAGTTCAGGGTTCAGGGTCTCTTGAAACAAGGAGCCCCATTCTGAATGACACCCGTTTTACACTACCGACATCAGACTAAACCCTAACACCCCCCTGAGCCCATGTTGTCTAGGATGGCCCTTAAGCCCCTCTGAAAAGTACTCCTAAATATCATCCTCTTCAAGCCAAGAAAGGAAAATAAAAATGTCGCAAGGGCCTATTTAGTCGTGACAAGCGGCCGCGTAGGCTGATTGTTGACTTCATTGTCAAGCCGGACTCCACGTGTACCACCTACCCAGTTTAGGGTTTAGGGCTTAGGGTTTAGGGTTTGGAGTTTGCAGTTTAGGGTTTAGGGTTTAGTTAGGGGCAGCGTGCTGGGCTCCGCAGCAGATGGGGTTGAGGGATGGGGGTTGCCATTTGCAAGGGGTCTGCGCCTTTTAACTACATGTGCTTCTCCCCATGTACACCAGTGAGAGATGGTGCCGGTTTCTGCTGATTCGGCCTGGAAGTGGCAGTATGGTCGTGAAAAACGCCACGCCGAAAGAAGACGAGCGACGCCGAGTGAAGACGAGTGACGCCAAGCGAAGTCAAGTGACCGTCTTCGCAACGTCGCTGGTCTGCATCTTCGCGCGTGTGCGCAGATTTCCGCACGACCGCGCCACCGATGCAATCGGGGTTCCACACTTTTGTATTCGCTTCTCCCCATCTGCTTAAATGCAGTGCTCCCCAGAGAGAGAGTTCAATAACACTTCCAAATCCTAATACAGCTTGAGGTGCATGGTCCGATGCCTTGGCCTGGCCTCCAGGGCTGAAGGCTAAACTGCCTAAGCCCTACAAGAGTACATCCGAAACACTCACATCTGACTCCAGTTCAGGGGTTTGGGGTTTAGGGTTCAGGGCCAGGCCTCCCGGTCGGATTCCGAGTTCTGCAGGCCCAGGCCCCCACCCTGGTTCGCAAGGGCAGATGACACTCCGGAGCCGGGGGCTCTACTCTCATAGGTTGAGATGTTCCCCCTGGTACTAACAGTCGTTAATAGGGATTTTAACAGGGTACCTAAACCCTAGAACCCTAGAACCCTAAAACCCTAAAACCCTAAAACCCTAAAACCCTAAAACCCTAAAACCCTAAAACCCTAAACCCTAAACCCTAAACCCTAACACCCCAAATCATAGGCGTTTCAGACCTGCAGTGACCCTGCAATCTGCGATAGCTACCAGGCACTCTGCCACACACTTCAGCCTTCCGGTCGAAAGACCCCGGGTTTAGGGTTTAGGGTTTAGGGTTTAGGGTTCAGGGTTTAGGGTTTTGGGTTTTGGGTTTAGGGTTTAGGGTTCCCTCTCATGGCCGCATGACTGCAAGTGAACTTCACTTGAACTTCCCACTCGAGTCGTCAAGCAAGCGTGCGCAGGCTCGCCACGGTCGGATTGAAGTCCACCGCGTGAGCATCTAAGAGCTTCCTCATGCCTGGGCATGGACAAGATTGCTTCAGAATCCGGAGTCGGGTAAATCCTCTGCCAGTCGCAATGCCGCCCCCCCCCCCCGCCCCCCCCAACCCCCCGCATGTAGACAGCACGCCTTGTAGCAGCTCCTTGTTGATTTTCATGAGCTGCTGGAGGGGTGCTACTTGGTCCTCCACGAGTGCAGCTGGGAGGCTTGGGAGGTTCAAAACAGAAGAGGGTTTAGGGTTTAGGGTTTAGGGTTTAGGGTTTAGGGTGATATTGGGCAGTGGCACTGAATCTCTAAATCCCGGCTCAATCATCGAGGTGCATGATGGGACAGGACAGGGTGATGTTCAACGACAGCGAATGAAGCAGGGGTCCTTAATCGCGGGAACATCACAAGGGCTCGCAGACACCTTGAGTAGTCCCATCCCTAGCGTCCCAGCTGCCAGAACTTCCCTAAACCCTAAACCCGAAACCCTAAACCCTAAAGGCCCTAGGTTTGCTAACCGAAGTCATCATGAAACGCCGGCAGGTCCTTGGTTTCACCCGGCACTTTGAGGCTGGCCATCGAACTCGGTGAGGGGGACCTGACCCAGGAGGCGATGTGTTTAGGGTTTAGTAATTAGGGTTTAGGGTTTTGGGTTTTGGGTTTAGGGTTTAGGGTTTAGGGGTACTTATTCACCAAGTATAACTGTACTTATAACCCACTTATAAGCCCCTAAAGCGCCCTAATATGGTTCTAAGGACAGTTATAAGTACAGTTATATTTGCTTCAAGTAGACACAGAAACACTACACCAGGGTACCGAGTTCAACTACGCATGAACACCCCCCCCCCCCCCCCCCCCCCCCCCCCCCCCCCCACACCCCAGTCCGCCCTATGCAAAACTCAGCAGACACTATGAACGCCTACAGTAAACAGCCCTCCAAGGTTTGCACTGCCTGGGACCTGGCGGCTCACCTCTCCCGGGCAAGTTCGAAACCTCGAAGCTCTAAACCCCATGCTCCCGTTCCCTTCATCCATTCCCAACCGGCCTGCTGGCTTCTGCCTTACCTGCTTTCGAGGTATTGTTGGTGAGAGTTGGCTCTGCCACGCTCTTTGCTGACGGCACCCGTTTGGGAGCGGCAGCACCTTAACTTGGCTCCACTTGCATGTCGGGGTACGTGGTCAAGAGGCTCGGGTGCTACATCGCGTGCGAAATGCCAGGTACCAATGTCATGCTGTTATAACCCCCTATACAAGATCTAAACCTACTTCCCAAAATCATCCAGAACATCCTTTTCAACTACTTCGGCACCTAGACTATCTCGCTCTGGCCGTAAGGACTTTGGCTAAACCCTAAGCCCTGAACCCTAAATCTGTTGCAGCAGGTCTCCTCGCCTAAACCCTAATCTTGAATCCTAAACCCTACTTACTTGGAGGTTCATGGTTACTTAGAAGTAGGGTTAGAAGTGGGGTGAGTATGGTCATAGTCATAACCTTATTTTGGGCACTTATGACCCTACTTGTAAGTATAAGGCCGACAAGGAGGCGTGCCCTGCCCTTTGAAGATGTTGAAACCCCTCCGTCATCAGGCATGGCAAGACTCCAAAGGCTTAGGGTCTTCTGGTTCATAGTTGAGATAGTAATAAAAATTTAAAATTTTGTTCTTATTGAGTTTAAGTACCCTTAAAAATGTAAAATGTTATCCCACTATGACAAAGTCTTATGGTCTGTCCCTTCAGGACGGGTTGTTGACCTTGACTTGGAATCTTGTGTGGGGCACATACTCCTCATTGAATCCTCGGCTTAAACCCTAACCCTAAACCCTAAACCCTTTTTTTATGGCTAGGACTGCTGCGCTGCCTGCCTGGGACCTTCCCTAAACCCTAAACCCTACCCCAAACCCTCAACCCTATCCTTCAAAAGCCCCTACAGTAAACGCTGGCCGGGCCACTCTGTGACGAAATGGACGCCGGGGACTTCCTTGGCTTGGCATCCCCGAGATTCTCTGAGGGCTTCTGGGTTTAGGGTTTGGGCTAGGAGGGTTTAGGGTTTAGGGCTAGGAGGGTTTAGGGTTTATGTAGGCTTTAGGGATTCAGGTGCTAGGAGCACACACGCACGCACACACGCACGCGCACGCACGCACGCTCGCACACAAACGCGCGCACAAGCGCACACACCCGTGCACACAGCCGCGCACACACGCTGCTACAAACCCAAGACTCAAATTATACCGCCAACTGAATTACAATGGGTGTTTCGGGTGATGCGGGCCCAAGAAGAAAAGAAGATTGCAGCAGTTGAAGCATTGCATCACACCATGCTTCTGTAAACAAAGGGCGTGCAGGCGTGGCGATTCGTAGGTTCCGAAGAGTGATCAAGACGTCCCTTGCAGCATGCAGATTCTTCAGCAAGAGCCCACAGAGGTTCAAGCACAGGTGTGTGGAAGTCATTCTCAATGACCGTGTTTGCATGTTTCAAGGCAGTCTTCAAACCTGGTGAGTCTTTTCCGACGGAGTGTAAACGCTTCAGGCTTAAATTAAGTGGGTCAGGCTTAGGTGCAATGGCACCACGAAGTTCTTGTGCAGTCATAGAACACCATTTTTTCGAGCGTAACATGAGCAATGCAAGAGATGCAGCTGCAAACCCCACCCTTTCATTCTGAGCAGTGGCTGCGATGCACCTTGCCCTGGCCCCTCAGCCTAAGACTTCGAACTTTAAGCCCTGAACCCCTACCTGAAGGGTTCTACGTAGGGTACTTCGACATACCCATGAACCTTCAAGTACACCCTAAACCCTAAACCCTAAACCCTAAACCCTACACCCTAAACCCTAAACCTAAACCCTAGACCCTAAACCCTAAATCGCCACTCTCCTCATGGCGATGGCGATGCCAAGGCTCTTTTCCACTGCGGACGGGCTGGCGGCTCCTCAAATTGGGGCACGGGCGGAGAGCCCACAAAGGTTGAAGATGGCTCCGCGGTTTAGGGTTAAGGTTCAGGGTTCAGGGTTCAGGGTTCAGGGTTCAGGGTTTAGGGTTTAGGGTTTAGGGTTTCGGGTTTAGGGTTTAGGGTTCAGGGTTCAGGGTTTAGGGTTTAGGGTATGTTCCCCGTTATACTACAGTCGGGCCGTGAGCATGCTGCAAAGCATGCACTTGTTTGGCCTTGCTCACTGTCACTGTTTCCAGGTGTATGACATTGAGAACTGGGCGATCAGACATCAGCCCCAACCCGAAACTCTGACACCTAAACTAGTTCATTGTTGGGATGATATTTAAAAAGTACTTTATTATTCCTTGTTGGGTTTAAGTACCCTTAAAGCTGTTAAATGCTACCCAACTATGACAAAGTAAACTTCCCTCCCTTGAGAGGTGCCACGACAATGAGATGCGGACAGCTTCGTTTGAGTCGTCAGTTGAAGACATTTCCAAATTCGAGCCCCTTGCTGCAGCCTTTGAGTTTAGGGTTGAGGGTTTAGGGTTTAGGGTTTAGGGTTCAGGGTTGAGGTTTTGGGTTTAGGGCTGGTATTGCCAAGCAGCTAGTGGCGGCACTGTTGGTCGAGTTCACTTTGCTCACGTTGGCGCCAGCGTTGTTGGTCGAGGTCACTTTGCTCACAACTGGGGGAGGCGCGGCACTCTTCTTCGGAGGAGCCGGCTCGCCCGACAGACGGCCTTGCTAAACCCATTACCTCTACCCAGACTACGGTGGGAGCAAAGGGTTTAGGGTTTAGGGTTTGGGGTTTAGGGTTTAGGAGTTTAGGAGTTTAGGAAGGAAAGGGAAGTCTCAGCAGCATGTGGGAAACCTCTTCGGAAGCAACGCTCTGCCGCGCCTTCGCGCAGCCTGTCCCTCCCTGTGCGCCAGGCATGCACGCTTGCGACTTCACACTTGCCGGTGCCCTAAACCCTAAACCCTAAACCCTAAACCCTAAACCCTAAACCCTAAACCCTAAACTCCCTCCGCACACACCCCGAGGAGCAGGCAAAGCCGCTCGTTTAGGGAGTTCTCGGCTTCGACCACAAACTCCTTGATGGAGTCAAGCTCACCTGAATGGCCATGAACAGCTGCCCTTCTCAGCGAAAAACAGCACAAGGCGAGACCGGAAAAGCAATCTGAAGTTGCGCCTCAGGGTTCCAGACTGCCAGAGGTTTAACGGAATATACAATGTAAACTCATGAAAACTAAGAACAGTATGAATATGTGAATGAAGGACAATACTAAACAGAAGCAAAATTAATAGTGTTGCTTAGAAATACAGAGGCTTGAACTAACTTGGACTTCGGGCCCAGCTTAGTTGTCCAGTAACCTAGGGGAATTGAAGGTTCACCTTTGGGATTATAAGGGGGTTCTATTACCCCAAGAAGGTTAAAGGTTAACCCTAAACCTAAACCCTAAACCCTAAACCCTAAACCCACTCTACTAGGCCAAAAGCCGGGCTCTCTGCAGGCAAAGGCGCTCTTGATCATGTCCTGGCCAGCTTGCACCTGTTGCCTTCGCCATCGGGGCAAGATTGGGATCTCTGGATACACCATGGCAGGTTTAGGGTTTAGGGTTTGGGGTTTGGGGCTTAGGGTTTAAGTTTAGGGGTTAGGGGTTAGGGGTTAGGGTTTAGGGGTTAGGGTTTAGGGTTTAGGGTTTAGGATTTACGGTTTAGGGTTTAGGGTTTCGACTCTCACACTCGCACACGGCCGGCAAGGCATCGGGCTTACGGTTTGGGGTTTCGGGTTTTGTGACACACATCCGCCGGAAAGGAGGGAATGAGGTACCCCTGGCCTAGACAGTGAAGAGGGTTCAGAGTCTGGGTTTAGGGTCTCATTTGGACGGCCCAACAAAAAGCCCCTGAACTGACACGGCGCCGCAGGTCCATAACAGCGAAGCGCACGAACGTCAACACCTGGCAGTGGGACACTGGACAAGGGGGCGATGATTCTACACCGTCCACTGGCTGGGTGCTCGCAACTACCCCTTACATCACGAACATGCCGCATACAAAGAAACGAGGCTGCTTACACCAAACCCTTTTTTTGGCAAAACCTAAACTCAGGGAAGACTCCCTAAACAAATCAGCATGGGCCCTTAAGATTCCAATAAATTGGGTTGCCAGCCCTGAATTGCTTACCCTACACTCTAAACCCTAAACCCTTAACCCTAAGCCTGAAACCCTAAACCCCTGAGAATCTCTGGAGTGGGTGGGGATGTTCGCAAAAATCACATATTCTAGAACTATATTTCCATTTGTGTTTCTATTTATATTTACATGTAAATTGATTTGCTCATGTGCTTTATTTGCTTTATTGCGAAGTAAACCCCGTCTGTATTCTTTTCTGGACTATGGAATACACATCGGACAATATCGGGAAGAGTTTACGGTGTGCAGGCTTCTACTGAAACCCGAAACGCAAGCACTCAGGCTGCCGGCGTCAGCACCGAAACTCGCAGCTCACACTCTAAATGCGGATGCCTGTTGCGAAGCTTGCTCCCGCGCACTATCCTGAATTGACCAAGAGCACAACTACGTGTTTGTGAACACACGGGTGTCTCATTCTAGTGGGCATCGACAAGGCCACCATTCCAACCGAGCGTCGATCATGTTGAAGAAGTCTTGATAGTCAAGAACTCCTCACACATCAGTGCGAGCAACACTCAGACAAGCCGAGTGGCCTTCGCTTGGACTTTGGACGCCCAAGATGCCTCCGCAGCCCTGGAACCTATCCTAAGCCTGCAGGGGCTGGGCCCATCAGGGGTAGTGGACGGCACTGGAGCCTGCAACCCTAAACCCTAAACGCTAAACCTCAAACGTGAAACCGCAAACCCCAAACCCATGCGGCTACGCCTATGCTGTTGGCAAGATGCCTCCTCCCGTGCTGACCCGATCTGAAAGGCGAGGGTTCACGATGTTCACTTGGGCCACTGCCCATGGCTGTCACGGCTACAGCTACCCTTACGGCCGCAAAACCCAACTCCTACTTTCAGGTTCATGGGTACTTAGAAGTAGGATTCTTGTAACCCCAAGTATTCCTGTACCTATAAGGCCCCCTAAGGCTCCTAAGTCCCCGAAGTAGGGTCATAAGTAGGCTTCTCATTGGGGGTTATAAGTACCCATGAACCTCCAAGTAATGCTAAACCCTAAACCCTAAACCCTAAACCCTAAACCCCAAACCCTAAACCCTAAACCCTAAACCCCAAACCCCAAACCCTAAACCCTGAACCCCAAACCCTAAACCCTAAACAACCTCCCAACCCTACGCACCCATCTCCTGTGCCAGTCTCGTCAAAAACGCGGAAGAGCACATCCAAGTCTTTGCGGTCGATGTTATAGTCCTCCGGCAGCCCCAAACTCTTAGGGTTTAGGGTTTAGGGTTTAGGGTTTAGGGTTTGGGGTTTGGGGTTTGGGGTTTGGGGTTTGGGGTTTGGGGTTTGGGGTTTGGGGTTTAGGGTTTTGGGGTTTAGGGCCAAAAAAAGGCAGCATCTGAAACCCGAAATCTAGTAAGTACAGGCAGAGCGCGGCTGTAGATCACAAAAGGCCAGATCTCTGCACGCACACTGCTCAAACTCAGCGGCATTGAGGCTGCCTGTTGCATGTGACCCTGATCATGGCGCAGCTCGTTTCGGTTTGGGTTCTCAGACGCGATCGTCTCATCGGGCTTCGGTTTGGCGAGCTGTCGCCGCCTAGCTGGGCAGGGTTTTTTTGCCACCCGGCGCACTGGGGAGGGTTTAGGCTGGAGGGTTTATGGTTTAGGGTTCAGGGCTTAGGGTTCAGGCGCTGCTTCTAGGGTTTGGGGTTTGGGGAGTTGTGTACTCCCGCGATTTCCACCGTCAATCCTTCATGGCATTCCGGAACTCCGAGTTTCGCTCAAAGCCCACCAGGAGCTCGTCCTCGGCTGTTTGCTTCGCATTCTCCGAAGTGGTGGTACGGTTCGTGTGGAGGCCATGATTGAAAGAACAGGCCATGATGCCCCATGTGTCTTTAATGCAAGCAGGTCACGTAGGATAAGGATCCGCTCTCCTGGGCTCGAAGCACCCCTGGACCCTTCGAGGTTCAGGGTCCAGGGTTTAGGGTTTAGGGTTTAGGGTCCAGGGTTTAGGGCTTAGTCGCTCATTTGGGCTCTCTGGGCCTTGCTGTACGCTGCCTGCGACTGCAGAAGAAAAAACGCTTGGGCTTTTGAGGCTTCTTGCAATAGTGGGCAAACCATCCAACTGATTCCTGTCATATCTGCCCTGGTCCCAGGCCTAGGGCCCAGGGCCTAGGGCCCGGTAGGCCATAGGCCTCCAAACTGCTCTGGGCTGGAGAGCTCTACTCGAGAAGAAGCTTTGCAAGGCTACTCTGTACCGGCCTCATTGCTCCTGGACTGCAGTGCTCAGGTACAGTGACCGCTCTGTTCGTGAAATCAGAAAGCCTCAACCGTCGAGGCTACCCTTAGCCTGCTAATTGCTTCAGAACCCCCCAAAAATTGAAATGCATTCTTCCTTGCACGGGCAATATAGGGATTACTAATATATATATATATATATATATATATATATATATGTATATATATATATATATTTATTTATGTCTATTTATGTGTTTTTTTTTTTTTGGGGGGGGGGGGGGTTCTTAAGCCAATAGTGATAGCCTGAGGATCAACATGGCATAATTTCGTAGTAATAAAATTGGTGCCTTCCGCAGCAGGCACACGCCCAGCAACTGAGGGACCCCTCAGTTCCTCTGATTGCTCCCTGCCCCTCAAGACACTCAGCCCCTCTACGGTTTAGGGTTTAGGGTTCAGGGTTTAGGGTACGGATTTTGCAGACAACTTGGAGCTTGCTGCGATAAGACTGTCGTAGACAAGGCGCATCATCATCCAGAATCTTGCAGATTTCCAGCAGCCGGTTCTTCTGCCGCTCCTTCTGCTTCTGCTCCTCATTTCTTTGCCTTCTCCTGGACAAGTATCTCGACAGTTAGGAGCAACAAAACCTGGGAGTCTAAGCCTTGCTGCCGCTTCTTGGACTGAGTTCCTGTGCACCATGAATGAGCGCTAAACCCTAAACTCTAAACCCTAAACCCTAAACCCTAAACCCTAAACCCTAAACCCTAAACTAAGTTGCGGAGTCGCGGTCCTCTTTGCCTCTTGGGCTTCTTCTCGGGCCTGGGCACCACTATCCACGATCGCCGCCACGATCAGATTCCTGGGGGTAAAGACTCTGGGGACTGAGGTGGTGACGTGTTGTGAATTACAAAAACGATGTGTGACACATTGTGAACATATACAGCCTTCTCTCTCTCTCTCTCTCTCTCTCTCTCTCTCTGTATATATATATATATATATATATATATATTTATTTATTTATTTATACACATGTATATTTATTTAGACTTATATTTATATGTATGTATTCTTATTGCGCAGTGCATTTACAAGAAAACTTGCTGAAGCTGCCAAGCCAAAGCTCAGCACCCCAAGGGTCACTGTGGCGTACATACCGACCTCGGGTCCCATTCCCTAAACCCTAAACCCTAAACCCTAAACCCTAAACCCTAAACCCTAAACCCGCAGCTGCCGAGCGGTGCTGGACGTGACTGTTCATTCGTTCGCGGGGGGTGGGGGGGGAGCGGGGGGGGAGCGGATCATGTCCGCCAAGCCCGCCAAGGGGCAAAGATGAAGATAGTCTGCGGCGCCTTTTCAATGATAGCCTGCACAGGGCACATGTCGGCTCCGGGGCAGCAATCTGTGGGAGGACCGGGCTACATTCTCCTAACAACCCCTAAGAACCCCTAAAAAACCCCCCCAAAACCCCCTAAAAAACCCCTAAAAACCAAGGCTGCACAAATGCTGCCAGAGCAACGATGGCTGATGCGCCCCAGCTGTCGCCAAAGACGACCGTCTGGCAAAGGGTTATGACCTGAAGGGCTCCCAAGTCGTGGGAAATCTCTGCTGAAATCTATACTCCACGGCCAAGCGGTAGGTGCTCCCTAAAACCTTTCCAACCCTAAACCTTTTTTCAAACCCTAAACCCTCTCAAACCCTTTCAAACCCTTTCAACCCCCCAAATCCTATAGGTCCTAAACCCCAAACCCTCATCCCTAAACCCACTCCTTTTCGCCAAGGTGCGGAAGACCAAACAGAGGCCCAAGCTTTGCAGCTCCTGTCACACTCTTCTCCGGAGCTCATCTCCAGAACAAGTTCGCGATTCACGGGCTCAATGAAGTAGACAGCAATGATGCCCCACATGAGGATCACCTGAGCTGCATAGAGCGCCCTTTGAAACTCCGCCCCCCCGGAAACTGCTGGGCCCCCCCTTCGTCTGGGAGGGGTTTTTGGCGGGCTTACCATGTTGTGGCAACCCTAAACCCTAAACCCTAAACCCTAAACCCTAAACCCTAAACCCTAAACCCTAAACCCTAAACCCGAGCAGAGGAGTGGCTATCCACATCAAGATGGAGCCCCAGAAGACCGCCGAGAAGGAGGAGATGAAGCCTTTGACCAGGAACTGCAGCTCCGGGAACATGCCCACCACGCGGACAAATCCTTGAGGGTTTAGGGTTTAGGGTTTAGGGTTTAGGGTTTAGGGTTTAGGGTTTAGGGTTTAGGGTTTAGGGTTTAGGGTTTAGGGTTTAGGGTTTAGGGTTTAGAGCTGAAGGACTGAATGGCCGACTGGACGCTGCCAAAACCACCATGTTTGGAGGTTCGAGGGTACTTCGAAGTGGGGTTATACAAGTAGTAGAGTAACTAGGGCTACAACCTCATTAAGCGCACTTATAACCCTACTTATAACTTACAAGTACCCTCGAACCTTCAAGTGCTCCTATGCGCCGTCACAATACTGGTAGCGGAAGCCCATCGGGAACCCCAACTCTTTCTGGTGACCGGCGTATGGGGGTTAGGGTGTAGGGCTTTCCATGTCAAATGGTCAACCCATCTGGTCTCACTGTACTTACAAACTGCTGCTTCTGCCAGCTTGACATTCACCTGAGCCGAGTCTCTAAACACCCTCACCAAGCGGAAGATCCGCAAGAAGCCAAGCTGATAAGAGAATCCTGCGCAGCGAGCGACAGGACACCAGCTTGCATAAATCCTCGGAACCCCAAATGCCAACCACAAACCCCACAAACAGTCACGCCGAGGATCTGCAAACTGACCCTACTTGGCGGTTCATGGATACTTATAAGTAGGGACAGAAGTAGGGTATGGGTGATAGCTCTCTTTTCAAGGGTATTGATAACCCTACTTAGTACCCTCATGAACCTTCAAGTAGCCTGCATGGGAGCCCAGTCCTAGGGCAACATCTGAGATGAGAAGAATCACGTCGGATGCAACCTTACAAGCTCACAGGGCAGGCTGTGGGGAAGAAGCATGACCAAGGTCCCCAAAGACCCCTGCCATTTCGGAGTGAAGTCTGCATCCACTGAAGTTGACCTGTACACGAACCCGAACTTACATTGCTGTCAGCCGAGGCGCGATCAAGAAGTCAAAGAGCATAGCGGTTTTGAAAACCTCGAGTCTGAAAACGTAGATCCGAGCGGACATCTCCAGCGCATAGATACCTCATCCATGCAGGGTTAAAGCAAACTGCATGCATCGATCACTCTCGAATGCAATATCGCAAGAAGCTCTCCTGTGCCTTGCAGGCGGACTCTCCCCCTCTTAGACCTCCTATGCACGAAACAAATCAGCACCATGCTCCACCAACTAACTGGCCGCCGGGTCGCAGGTGTAAAATGCTGTGATGTAGTTTGTAATTAACTGCCAGAGCTCTTCCTCGGGATTCCTGGAATGGAGCGCTTCGTGGTGCCCATAACTCATCTTGGAAGTGGGGTCCAAGAACAGGTTTAGGCATATTTGTGGCTCCCATTTTCAGTTTCCAACGTTTACGGCTGAGAATTCCACTCTTAGGGAACAAGACGACGCTTGATGAACGAGTGCAGCGAAGGACGCCGCGCATGCGTGCGCGTGCTACTTGCGGTTCTGAACAAGATTCTTAATGCCTTGGCTTTCGCTTGGTTGTACAAGTTGGAACCCATCACAATCCCAAGTCTCCGATCATCATGCTTCGCTGTCAAGTCAGCATCCTTGGCTTCGCTGGTGAGCGCGCGGTGTGTCGTCTGTGCAATGCAATGTCGCCCCCAAGGGAGCCCGAGTTGACAGCAGCTACTGTGGGCTAGGGCTGCTCAAGGGGCGCCAAACAGAAAGGATGCAGGGAGGTTCTGTGCAGCTCAGGAGCAACAATTAAAATCACGACACCTCAGTGAGGCGGCGATGAATTCCCACTGCACCCCCGAAAACTGGTCAGACTTCACGGTGGTCGGCGGGTGGAGTCTGAACTGAACACAGCCAGCTGGCCATTCTTTACCGCAGATCAGGTGAGAGAGAGCTGGAAAGGCATCAGGGTAAGTAGACGTAACGATGCAGTGATGCAGATGAGAGCACGTCATCATTCCCAAACCCGACACGCGAAGCCCTAAACGATTCGAAAGGAGGCGAGCCACCAGACAGAATCATGGATGCAAGCACCCAGTCTGTCTTCGGGTTTGTTATCATTCCTTGGCAGCATGCGGCTTCAGCACCACAAGCAGAGTCTGATCACCCAAGCGCTGTGCAGGTAAAGATGAGGCTCCCCAAACCTTCTGGCGCATCATAGTCCATTTGGCAAAGCCTTAGTTGCTTCATCAGAACGTGTACACTTTCAGCTCTATAGAGGGACCTTAGTTGTCCAGTACCTAGGGGTTTTAAAGGTTAACCTTTGGGAATATAAGGGGAAGATACTAACCCAAAAAGGTTAAAGGTTAGCTACTCTACTACTAAGGGACTGTGGTATCCCAAAAGAGTGTAAAGCGTGCTCACTCAGCTACTAAGAGGCCATGTGGGTGAAACTGCCCTTCGCCGTCCTCGGAGTCATCATCCCCACCTTTGCGGCGTTGCGGATGCCAAACCCCAGCAACTGGGAATATTTAGGGTTTAGGGTTTAGGGTTTAGGGTTTTAGGGTACAATTCTGATGCTTCCCAAGGCATAATGCAGAACTGCTCGAAATCCCGGTCGAAGTACGACAGCGAGTTGCAGCTCTCATTCAACCACTCAACCTTACACCTTTCTGCCCAACCTCAAACCCAAAACACCCCCAGAACTCCAATCGAGAACCTCTCAATTGTCAAAGTAAGCCCCCAAAAGCACGAGGCCATGTAAAGCCATGCAGCTTAGACAACTTTAGGTTTTCAAACCGGACGGCGTGGAGAGGGAGCGTGGTTTTGATTCCAAGCCTTTTAGCTGCACTTTGCATGTTCAGGGTTCAGGGTTCAGGGTTCAGGGTTCAGGGTTTAGGGTTAGGGTTTAGGGTTTAGGGTTTAGGGTTAGAACCCCAGGCTGCCAACCCTAAACAGAACCCCCCCCCCCCCCAAAACCCTGACATCCGCCGCAGGGCCAAGCGCCGCCGCGCCGAACTTCCGGCGCGGGCGCGGGGTGGCCGACTCCTTCTGCTTCCTTGCGCGGAGGTTCATGGATACTCATAACCCCAATAATAAGCCTACTCTTTAGGGTTTAGGGTTTAGGGTTTTGGGTTTGGGGTTTAGGGTTTAGGGTTTGGGGTTTAGGGTTTAGGGTTTAGGGTTTGGGGTTTAGGAGGTGCATGGGCACTCATAACCCCAAATATAAGTCTACTGTTTAGGGGTTTAGGGTTTGGGGTTTAGGGTTTCTTCTGATTGATGAGGTTTCAGGGTACTTCTAACGGGGACCTGAACCTCCACGTAAAGCGGAAGTCATAAGATGGGGGCTTACACTTGTACTAACAGCTCTTCAATAGGCATATTTCGGGGGTGCCATAATCCCTATTAAGGACTGTTAGCATCACGGGGAACATCCCAAGTCATGAGATCATGAGATGGGCATTTCCCAAAATAGGGGGTGGCTAACTTTTGGGGGCTTGGGCTGGCTTACGAGGCTTCGCGGTTTACCACGACCCCAAGGGCTCACTGAAATCCGCCTAGGGTTTAGGGCTTAGGGTTTAGGGTTTAGGGCTTGGGGTTTGGGGTTTGGGGTTAGGGTTTCAGGACCCCCCCGCGAATATTGAACACTCATTCACCCGCGGGTGCAGGCAACGGCAGAACCCTCAGGCGTTTTAACTGCAAAGGCAAGGATGGCGTTACACAGAACAAAACCCCTAAGCCGAGCTCCCTAAACTTTTGTGCCCGAACTCCCTGTTTGCATCTGGATTTCCAGGCAGCCGAACTCTCCAACTCCCGAAACCCTAAACCCTAAACCCTAAACCCGAAACCCTAAACGACGCAGTCCCCCACAAAGGGGACCCTCTGAGTTGTAGGCGAGCATCCCACCAAACACCATGATGCCGCGTCTCCCGCGGCAGCAGGCTTGCTGGCTAGTGGCTACCCTAAACCCGAAACCCTAAACCCGAGCAACTAGCTGACTTTGAACGAGGATTGTGGTGGTGCTTGCCGAATGCTTCAGTGTGGCTCGTGTTTGGAACTGTGGCAGGATCCGCGTGGTAATCTCGCGCGTAATGACAGAAGAAGCCGATGAACTTCTTGGGCCAGCTGCCAGTGAAGCAATGCACTCAGCTTGGGTTTAGATTTAGGTTTAGGTTTAGGGTTTAGGGTTTAGGGTTTAGGGTTTAGGGTTTAGGTGTCGAAACATCATGTCGGTGTCATCATCAGGGGCAGTTGGGACAGGACGATCGGTCGGCATGGGATGGATGGAGTCTTTTGCTTCTCGCAACTCGACAAAACAATGTGACGTGAGTCCTTGCTGGCTTCTGTGCATACAGCAAAGAGAGCTTAAAGCTACCCCACGTGTTGTGCCTTCATGGCCCTGATGAGCCCTTCGAGGCTTCAGAGGATCCGGAGGTCGCTTTATCTTTACACATTCAGCACTCCTCCTTGAAGTGACCGCTAGGTCTCTTCACTCACAAAAGAACTCAAAACGTTCTCGTCGGATAAAGCTGTCGGCCTCCATTGCGACAGCAAGCACAAAATGTGCGAATTTGGATCTGCGAGGCGTTTCGAAGGCCCCAGCAATCTCTTGATACGTGCACATGGTCACCCCCATTTGTCACATAGAACGGTCCTGGATGCCATGTTGGAACCTCCCGCTCCACTTCTCGAATTTCAATCCTCGCAGGTTCAGCGGACATCAACCTTGTCATGCCCATGTTGCATTGGATCTGAGCATCCATCATCATCGGCCTGGTACTTGGCATTCGCAATCGATCATTCAGCTGCTCCGCCAACTCATCTTCCACCATGTTTCGGAGTCTCTCCAGGCGCTTGTTTCTCTTTGGGTCCAAGCGGCGTCCAAACCATCTGACAGTCTTGTCATAGGCCCATCTCAGGAACTCCCAGAGAACCACCATAACAATGCCCACTAAGACCACGAGGACGTAGAACTCGACCGATCCATCCAGTTGCAGCGGGGCCTGAGGGTTCTCAGCTTTGGTCCCACACACCCATCCACACATCAGGAGTATCCTCAAGATCTTCGCCTTCAGCTCCGTCGCCAAAGGAACTTGCAATCCCCAGAGTCGGCATAACTCCTCATGGCGATCTTTGGGCAGTGGTTTGGTTAAAAGGTCAGCCTTCTGCACTTGACCTCTGCAATGAAGGACCCTCAGGAAACCGGATTTCGCCTGCTCCCTCAGGTACGACGCGCGAACCTTCAGGTGGCGGGTTCTCCAGGAACCCGCCCCATCCGAGCTGAGCCCCACCGCCGCCATATTGTCAATCTGTAGCTCCAGCATATTGACCTGGATGTTGAGTTGGCGAACCACGGCCATCACCGCCCGAGCAAGCACGATGCTGTCTATGGATGCTACGAGTTCGCACTCTGCGGTCGACAGAGTTACGAAACTCTGCCGGCCGCTTCGCCAGGCCACCGGGCAGTTGTAGAGGCAAACCAGGGTTCCGGTGTGCGACCGCCGCCCGGTCGGAGCGAACGACGAGTCGCTGAAGGCTTGTAGCGTGACACCACCGGGCACCAACAGCAACCCTCGGGCCTTTGTTCTTTGCAAAAATCCCAATATTCGGGATCCCACCTTGACCACCTTCTCCGGGTTCTTCAACACATGGCTTGCCATGATCGACAGGTGAAATGCCAGGTCCGGCCTCGAGCGTTGGGTTAACCAAAGCAACTCTCCAGTTATTTTCTGTGCTTCACGGATGGCGCCAGGATCTTTCGGAGATCTTTCCGGGCCCTCCTCCTCCTCATCCATCGTCATCCATTCTCGTGGACATGGTACCAACCCCAATTGGCTCTTCGGCACGTCATAGGCCCTCAGCAACTCCGCGATGTATGCCTCCTGGTTGAGGAAGTAGCACCCAGTCTCTGTTCTCTGGATTTCGCAGCCCAAGAACCTCACCACACGTCCTTCATCACATAATTCCAACTCCGAGACTTCCCATTCCGCCCGGAATCTTTCTCCCAGTGCTTCCACCAATTGGCGTTCTCCGCAGATCAAAATGTCATCCACATAAATGAGGATGGCACCAATCACCTGGCTCTCGTCCACGTAGTGCACTGACCACAAATTCGGCTCGATGTCGCCCTGTTTGAGGATCACCTTTCGACCGCCAAGATCAATCGTGAAGTCCTTCAATACCGAATCTCGGTACTGTGCCCACAGCCTTGGACTTTGCCTCAACCCATACAGGGCTCTTGTCAATTTCCATCGCTCCTGCTTGCTAACCACCCCCAGCAACACAAGCACATGGGGCGGCGTTACCACCACAACCTTTTCTCCCTCCTCTGTAGGCATTGGCGTAAGCAAGAACGCACCGGTAACGTCAATGGCGCCGATGTACCACTTGCGCCTCCCGGATTCAACCAAGACACACCTCAATGTCTCACCAGCAGCGCCCGAAGCAAAACAGTCCAACAACTGCTCATCTATCATGTTGCCGCAGGCCACGATCCTGGCTTTGCGTCGGAAGAGGGCCTCCGAGCCTTTCTTCGGTGGCTTGATCGTGTAGACGATTTTGGCCGGGACCACCAGCATGTCGTCTGCCTTGAATTTCTTCAACAACTCCCCCATTGTTGTTCGATCAAACCCCTTCTTGACGACTCCAAACTCCTCAAGGATCGGGTCTTTCCACAGGCCAAGATGCATCTTCGCTTCGGTAGGATCCACATTGTAGACGACATCCACTGGAGCTTGCATTGAGTCCAACAACTCCTCCATCCCCTTGGTGTACTCCGGCTCTGCCTTCATGATGCGGGGATTTTCCAAGCCTTTTTCGTGCAGGTAGCCCTGAAGCTTCTCCAAATCTTCCATGGCCAACTTCTCATCAACTGCCTCCAGCGACAAGTTCCGACACTTTCGCTCAGCGGTCGACAAATCCTCCACGTTAGGCCCTTCCATCAGTTGAACCTTGCGAACCCCCGTTGGCTCATTCACATGGATCTCCCACTCGCCAACAAACTCAGCGTCCATCGGCTCGGTATTGTCCTCCGGTTCCTCATCATCCCGATCCGTGTACTCCTCCTCGGAGACCTCATTGTACTGATCTGGGTCAGGATCATCCGGGATTCTCTCCTCCTCATCGTCGTCGTCCTCTTCTTCGAGATCATCATCATCCTCCTCCTCGAGTGGATCTTCTGCTTCAAGGGGAAACCCTAACTCCACCAATCGTTCTAGCTCATCTGTCTTCAACTTCTCGAACCCCGATGGTGTGTACCCGACAAGCAACCAATCATTCGCCGAGCTGGGGAGGAAACCATGAAACTTCTTCGGGTTGAAACCAGTGGCCCTATTCGTGATGTCGTAGAAGCGCCCAACACTCTGGCTTCCATCTGGTAGCACTTGTAGCACCTCGCCCCTCACAGCTTCACCTCTTGCAGGATTGGACTGGTCATCGCCGGACACCCAGAGCCCACGCCTTGATCTATCGGAGATCTCCACCACATAGTTCCAAGATCCTCGCTTGTTGTGGACATCGGTGTGGGGAGGTATAGCATTGCCTGTGAACACTCCCACAGTTGCCCACGTGACAGAGCCGTCCTGAAGATGATTGGTGGCCCTTTTGAGGTATTCATTCAGGTACTTCACAACGGCCTCCTTGTTTCTGGTCTGGACCGTAATACCCCTGTTGCCTCCCTGACAGTAAGCTCCAAAGGCCTGGAAATATCCCGCTCCTCTTCGAGTCCTCACCCTTGCGGCCACCACCAACTTCTCCAACATCTCCAAGCAACCTTCCTTCGAGAAGTCCTCCATGTTCAGCAGATGTTGTGCAAAGGCATTAACCTCTGCAAGAGTCCCTTGGCCTCCCGTCCGAGCTCGCACAGCCCGGATGATTGGTGCCGACGACTCCAATGGTGAGGAGGGCGGGGATTTTGTCTTGATTCGCCGCCGACGACCATCAGGAGCTGGAGCGTCCTTAGCTGCACCCCTTGCCGAAGGTTTTGGTGGTTCCCCGGCATTCTCTGGCTTTGTCTTTGCCCGCAATCTCCATGTCGGCTCAACAATCAACGGGGGCGCTACATCCTTCAACAGCGGCGGCTCCACAGGCGTTCTCACATGAGTGGTTTGAACATACCCCCCACCATCCTTCAAGATGCAGTGACCTCCACGAACGTCCGTTGAGGGTCCAAGGTACTTCCCCCTTGTCCATTTAGGCCCCAAGTCCTCGACTGCTCCAGTCTTGTAGCGCTTGGTCTTGATGTAGCAGGGAGACCCAAAAGGTGCCAACATTGGACTCGGCAAACCCATCCTGTCGCATCTCTGCGTAGAAGCAGCAGCATGTAGTGCTAAGGGCCATGCAGCCTTGTGCACCGCCCCAAAATCCAGCATCACCCGGATACGCTTCTTGAGGTACTTCACTCCCGCTTCGGCCACGCCATTGGAGGCTGGATTGTCGCCCTCCGTTGTCGTAGGCAACATTCCCTTTTTCAAGATCCAGTTCCGAACCATCTTGCTTCGTAGTTCACCGGCTCTATCTCCATGAACTCTATGCATAGGGAATCCAAGAGCCTTCACATCCACATAGATCCTCTGCAAGGCTGGCAAGACGCTGGCGGCTTTCTTGTTCCTCATCGGTACGGCGAAGTACGCGGTCTCCAATGCGATAGGTGTCGTAAAGCCTTCCATCATCTTCTTCCATGCCTTCTTCTCTTCCTCCTCTGAAGGCATACCCTCTTCTGGCATCTCATCCCGTCCAGGCTCCACACCAGCACCAAATGGATCTGCATCCCCAGGCTGCTCCTCTCCTTCTGAGAACTCCTCATCCTCAGCCCCAGGCAACGGAAAACCAGCTTCAGGACTTACCCCTTCCAGACGTGGAAAGCGATATGCCCCTATGAGGAAATACCTCAGTCCTTTCGAGTCCGGAGTGACTCCC